TAAAGGTTTGTAACGTCATACAACTTTGTAATTAAGCTAAGGTCAGGATCGCAGACAACAAGACCGCTTGTCAAACAGAAATAAAAACTCACTCTTATACTGACAGCCGACAGGTTCCTTAAATTCACTTATAGCTGCATTAATTAGATACCATTATATTTATATAACGATATATATATCGGTACAGGTTCCTTAAATTCACTTATAGCTGCATTAATTAGATACCATTATATTTATATAACGATATATATATCGGTACAGGTTCCTTAAATTCACTTATAGCTGCATTAATTAGATACCATTATATTTATATAACGATATATATATCGGTACAGGTTCCTTAAATTCACTTATAGCTGCATTAATTAGATACCATTATATTTATATAACGATATATATATCGGTACAGGTTCCTTAAATTCACTTATAGCTGCATTAATTAGATACCATTATATTTATATAACGATATATATATCGGTACAGGTTCCTTAAATTCACTTATAGCTGCATTAATTAGATACCATTATATTTATATAACGATATATATATCGGTACAGGTTCCTTAAATTCACTTATAGCTGCATTAATTAGATACCATTATATTTATATAACGGTATCTAGCCGACAGGTTCCTTAAATTCACTTATAGCTGCATTAATTAGATACCATTATATTTATATAACGATATATATATCGGTACAGGTTCCTTAAATTCACTTATAGCTGCATTAATTAGATACCATTATATTTATATAACGATATATATATCGGTACAGGTTCCTTAAATTCACTTATAGCTGCATTAATTAGATACCATTATATTTATATAACGATATATATATCGGTACAGGTTCCTTAAATTCACTTATAGCTGCATTAATTAGATACCATTATATTTATATAACGATATATATATCGGTACAGGTTCCTTAAATTCACTTATAGCTGCATTAATTAGATACCATTATATTTATATAACGATATATATATCGGTACAGGTTCCTTAAATTCACTTATAGCTGCATTAATTAGATACCATTATATTTATATAACGATATATATATCGGTACAGGTTCCTTAAATTCACTTATAGCTGCATTAATTAGATACCATTATATTTATATAACGATATATATATCGGTACAGGTTCCTTAAATTCACTTATAGCTGCATTAATTAGATACCATTATATTTATATAACGGTATCTAGCCGACAGGTTCCTTAAATTCACTTATAGCTGCATTAATTAGATACCATTATATTTATATAACGATATATATATCGGTACAGGTTCCTTAAATTCACTTATAGCTGCATTAATTAGATACCATTATATTTATATAACGATATATATATCGGTACAGGTTCCTTAAATTCACTTATAGCTGCATTAATTAGATACCATTATATTTATAAATTCACTTATAGCTGCATTAATTAGATACCATTATATTTATATAACGATATATATATCGGTACAGGTTCCTTAAATTCACTTATAGCTGCATTAATTAGATACCATTATATTTATAAATTCACTTATAGCTGCATTAATTAGATACCATTATATTTATATAACGATATATATATCGGTACAGGTTCCTTAAATTCACTTATAGCTGCATTAATTAGATACCATTATATTTATATAACGATATATATATCGGTACAGGTTCCTTAAATTCACTTATAGCTGCATTAATTAGATACCATTATATTTATATAACGATATATATATCGGTACAGGTTCCTTAAATTCACTTATAGCTACATTAATTAGATACCATTATATTTATATAACGATATATATATATATATATATAATATATATATAAATTCACTTATAGCTGCATTAATTAGATACCATTATATTTATATAACGATATATATATCGGTACAGGTTCCTTAAATTCACTTATAGCTGCATTAATTAGATACCATTATATTTATATAACGATATATATATATATATATATAAATTCACTTATAGCTGCATTAATTAGATACCATTATATTTATATAACGATATATATATCGGTACAGGTTCCTTAAATTCACTTATAGCTGCATTAATTAGATACCATTATATTTATATAACGATATATATATATATATATATATATATATAAATTCACTTATAGCTGCATTAATTAGATACCATTATATTTATATAACGATATATATATCGGTACAGGTTCCTTAAATTCACTTATAGCTGCATTAATTAGATACCATTATATTTATATAACGATATATATATATATATATATAAATTCACTTATAGCTGCATTAATTAGATACCATTATATTTATATAACGATATATATATCGGTACAGGTTCCTTAAATTCACTTATAGCTGCATTAATTAGATACCATTATATTTATATAACGATATATATATATATATATATATATAAATTCACTTATAGCTGCATTAATTAGATACCATTATATTTATATAACGATATATATATCGGTACAGGTTCCTTAAATTCACTTATAGCTGCATTAATTAGATACCATTATATTTATATAACGATATATATATCGGTACAGGTTCCTTAAATTCACTTATAGCTGCATTAATTAGATACCATTATATTTATATAACGATATATATATCGGTACAGGTTCCTTAAATTCACTTATACTACACTTATAGCTGCATTAATTAGATACCATTATATTTATATAACGATATATATATCGGTACAGGTTCCTTAAATTCACTTATAGCTGCATTAATTAGATACCATTATATTTATATAACGATATATATATATATATATATATATATATATAAATTCATTTATAGCTGCATTAATTAGATACCATTATATTTATATAACGATATATATATATTTGATCGAACAAGCCTAAATTCATGATGCACTATAAACTTGATTTGAGACAGAAATTTTAGACAATTTATCTGCTTACGTGTAATTTCAAACTCTTATCAGTTACCATGTCTTTTATCTAATTTTTATCAGCAGATTTATAAATCTGCTGTTCTTTTGTAGTTATTACCTTGCTAGTTATGAGTAAATTTTTGCCTTCCATCAATTGAGTGCAGCTTTCAGTTTCAAAATTTTCAGTTTATTCAGATTTTTCGTTTTCGATATTGCAAATTTTTAATAAATCATGTTCAGATTATGGTGATAATGGATGTAAAGGTACTTCAACCGAATTAACAATCCAACCGTGTGTATGACGTGTCCCAGTAGCCAATCATAATATATGTATTTCTATCGGTGACACACTTGGATGGCGGTTAGATGAGTACACTACTCTCACAAGCATCTCGAGTCTCTCGGTGATCCTGCCTCCACACCACACTCAGTCTGGACTCCCTTCCGGCCGACCGAACTATTTTCCTAATATCTCCTAATATAACTTTGATCGAACAGGCCTAAATTCATGATGCACTATAAACTTGATTTGAGACAGAAATTTTAGACAATTTATCTGCTTACGTGTAATTTCAAACTCTTATCAGTTACCATGTCTTTTATCTAATTTTTATCAGCAGATTTATAAATCTGCTGTTCTTTTGTAGTTATTACCTTGCTAGTTATGAGTAAATTTTTGCCTTCCATCAATTGAGTGCAGCTTTCAGTTTCAAAATTTTCAGTTTATTCAGATTTTTCGTTTTCGATATTGCAAATTTTTAATAAATCATGTTCAGATTATGGTGATAATGGATGTAAAGGTACTTCAACCGAATTAACAATCCAACCGTGTGTATGACGTGTCCCAGTAGCCAATCATAATATATATATATATATATTATTAGTCAGCCACAACTATCAGTAAAACAACGCCTTGACTTCAAATGTCGGTAAAATGTACCTTTACAGTCATCCTGATATAAAGACATGTTAGTAAATTTATTCAAAATATCAATCCATCAATCAATCAAATAAAAGAAATTTAAAATTTAGAAATTTATGTAACTCAGCAATTCAAATTATGGTGGGTGGAAATCCCAAATGAGTGGTAGAGGTGAGAAAATAAAATATGCAAGAAAAAAATCATCTTTCTTCTCTAACATTCATCCCTCCAAAGTGCTTTAAAGTTTTAAGCTGGTTTTGCCAAAAGTTCTCCCTTTGTTTACATATACTTAGTCTATCCTGGGCACATTGCTCAAAATTCCCAACGTCAACTTGCTCTATAATAGAAACATTAATGTCCTTACTTAAAGTACTGGTAAACAACTTAGTGGTGGTACGGTCAAGATTGTGCAAAATCTCATTATCTATAAAATGGCAGGAAAGTTCACGAGTCCTTCTTTGAGTTTTAATGTGGGATTTATGGTTCCTAAATCTAACCTTTAGAGAGTCTGAAGTACATCCTATATAACTTAACTTACAAATATTATCATTAACTATATACACAACATTTTTGGTATCACAGTCCAATCGTCCTTTGATACTGAATGCTTGGTTGGTGTGGAAACTGCCATATATATATTGATAGTCAGCCACTACTGTCAGTAAAACAACGCCTTGACTTCAAATATCGGTAAAATATACCTTTACAGTCATCCTCAAATTATTTGTTATATAGCCGTGTTGAAAGTATTAAAACTTATATATATATATATTATATTACATTACAAATTTCGTAAAACTCTCCACATAGCTATAATTTATTTCTGTCATCCTTAACATAGAATTAGAATATTTTGAACCAAAGACAAACATGCTGAACGACTTCTGATCAGTCTAAATGTAACAAACATTGTAGAGGGGCTGACGGTCGTGAAGGCTGACGTATTTGAAGCTAACATTGTACCACTCAGTGTGACGTGCCTTGCAAAACGCAGCTTTTACTGGATTAAATAAAGTCTTCGGGAGATTGTGAAAGTAAGCAGAGCAGAGGCGACTTGTGGGCTACATCTAATGATGGCGGGGTCAGCAGGGCCACTGAAGCAGAGCTACATCGTCAGTCAACACCCTACACTCACTTTTAGAACAAATTAAACAAATGTAATTTGTGCACATTATCTAAAATTATTGTTTAAAAGATAACAACAAATATTAACAGTAAAATTGATCAACATTAGGCTTACAATTGTTGACTCATCTCGCATAAATCAACTAAGAAATTAAAAAGGACATACTGATACATGAACTAACTTTTATTTATACAAATTCGTATTAAAAAAGCGATATCTTTTAATCATTAGTATTACTAACTCGAAAATTTAATTCATTTAACTGAAACCTTTAATTTTGCGAAATCTTTCGAAGCTAAGAAGCGAGAAATAAAACAAAATATCAGAAAATTTCAAAATGTCTTCTGTTTAGTGCACATTTTGTATGTAATAATAATATACAGGTGGCCTAAAAGTAACTACCCACGTGCAACCCTTTAATAACTCACGTAATTCGTCTCACTCTTTTTCACTACTGTCTTCATAAAATGAGAACGCTTTAGGCTAGGAAATCAAAATTTGTTGTACACATTTGGCTTGATAATTTAAAACCTTTCCCAAAGTTTCAAGTTCATTGTTTAAAATTTAGCTGAGTTATGACACTTCAAAATCCGCCGGATACGTGATCTCTGCACTCAGTCAGTGATCTCGTCACTCAGCTATATGAGATCAGTATGGAAAATATGAAACGGAATTGGGACGTATATTATACTACATATTAGCCGACTTAGTTAAGTGCTTAAAGCTGATTGAGTGCATTTACAATCTAAATCGTAATTTCAATGATCGATTTTTACATTATACAATACCTTATCAACAAATGTAGTTAAAGTTTTTTCCTAAGCAGGGAATATCAAAAGAAAGCTTTTTAACAACATAAAAACTATTCCCAAAACTGTCGACAATCGTTGGGAAATTTTCGATGTTCTTTGAATGGAATTGTACTGATTCCTTGAAGTAAGTATTAATAGTTTTTGATCTATTGACAAAAAAGTTTCCTGCGAATTGTTGAACAATCCTATGGTTTTCATTACCCTGGGAGCTCAGATAGTGTGGGGTTGGGGACAGGTAATGAGAGAGATTGACATGTTTCATTAATAAATTACATTCTTGGTCTGATATGACAGGTATGAAGTTTTTGAAGGACTGGGATGCATCCAGGTAGGATGAGTCCAGACATGTCAAATCAAAAGGTATGTTGCCTTTTAGGGACTGTGATAGAATGGACAGAGCTTCTATTTCCTGGAGGTCGAGTGGTGGACTAAAGTGGTCGTTCACTGTTGATGCCTGAAACATGAAAATTTACAACTTTGTTCAAATAAGAATGGTAATCGTAAATGTTACTAGATTAGTGGCTATTATTTGTAATAAAGTAATAATGAAAAATATTAATATCGAGTAAAAACCAAGCTTTCTTATTGAATGGCTCAACTTATTAATCAGTTATTTAAAATAAAATATACCCACATTCAAATTTAGTTTGGTGTTATTAGGTTCCATGCGTGCATCAGCAGTGGGTGGACCCTTTAATTTTACATCATCAATAATCCATACTGGTTTGTTTTCTGTTTGATCAAGAGCTTCAAAAATCCAACTTGATTCTTGTAAATGATCCTAAAATATATTTTCTTTATCAAAAATGTAGGTTTAAGCGCCTAATTAAGTTATTTAGGCGATCATTTTGAATCACATGACTTAATCGTACTATACTACCACTTTTATCAAATCAAATCAAATCAATGAAAATATTAATGTGGTTTTATAGCAATTTCAAGAAACAATTGGCGAAATAATAAAATATCAACGAAAGAAAAGAATTCTGTGCCATGCGATATGCGATATATTTATAATTCATACCTGACTGTAAATGACAATTCCGTTGACTGAGTTTAAAACTTCATTCCGCCGATCAAGAGGTAGGTCACTTGGTATCGGTACGACTTGTGCTCCTTTCAAAGTATTGTTTAATATCGTAATTTCAAATTAAATATAAATGAAGTTTTATAAAATTGGATTTGAACTGCGTTGTACATGACGGGGGGGGGGGGGGGGGGGGGGGGTTTACTATATAAAGTTAACGAAATCTGGTTTATTATTAAATTAAATCCGAGGGCTGGAAATTAATTGGTGACGCCTTATGCTTTTTCAAAGCCAAAGTTTTTAAAGTGAAAGCGAAAGTTCTTAAAATGAACGTGAAAGTTTTTAAAATGTGCGTACAGGTAGGTTATTAAATTCTTTACCTGATAATTGGAGCCATCTCACAACTGAGGTGGGTATGACGTGCAAGTCGTCCGCAGATATTGCAGAACTTTCACTCACTGACACCAGCTCTTTTAGCTTCACATCTTGTGATACCACTCCTGCAATAAACATTAATTATTGTCCCAGTATTGAAGCATATTGAATACAGTGGCCGGAACAAAGTATTTCATCCCGTAATGCTTCAAGAAAAAGTTTATAAAAATTAAAAGTATAAGTATAAATATGATGATTGGAATAGCAATGCATTCAACACAAATACTGATATCAGTATTTGTATTGAATGCATTGCTATTCACTATTCTAATCATCATAATATTATGATCTGATTGTCACGTTTCAGACAAATATGGTTTACTTTATTGTTGATACCCATCAACTATAAAGTTTATGGGTTTTAAATGGTCAACGAAAAGCTGGAAGTTCATTAGTAAATCATTGTCACACGCCAGAAAAACGTTGGTCCACCTCCATGTTCAATATTAGGATCGATGAAAGACTTACCGATAACTGGTGTCGAGTAATACCCGAGCCACTTGGACCCTTCCGATACCGAGCCAACTGTCTTCACTTCAAAACTTTTAGAAAATCTGGAGAATTCAGAGCGCTTGCCGAATCGAGACAAATACAGACAGATAATCAATACCAATGCGTAAAGATAAATTAGTTCTAGTGCACGGCAGCGGGGTACGTGAAATCTCATACTTAGATTCTTCCTAAAAATAAAGGGTGGTGTTGGTATGTTATTATGTTATCAAGATTTAACAAAAATATGCTAAATTCAATGGATTTCCTATGATAGGATTTTGTCAAGTTGAAGCTAAAGTTTTGTTCTGTAGGCCGCTTTTGTATTCATACTAGTACTACTAATAGAAGTAATGGATGTGGAACTGGAATGTTCGAAGTTTTACTTTTTAAAGTCAAGTTTAAAAACAAGAAATATTATGAAGGAGCAATAGCAACCAAGAAATAAAAGTGAAATCGTTAAACAAGTCTGTTTTTCCTGATCTTATATAGACTATCCGGTAGGGCGTAGACACCATTTACCGACGATTGAGCTGAAAGGTCATATTGTGTTTAACTAATAACAAAACAATAGTACCTAGTTAAGGGTAACTATAAAGGGTGAGGGCTTGTTTAGTCAATTATAAATCAATGGTACCTAGTTAAGAGTAACTAAGAGTGAATGCACTCGGTAGTGTGTCACTGTTAGAGATGGAGCCGTTGATAAACGGACAATTCAAATTATTTTAAATTTAATTAAAGTCGCCGATTAGACGCTATATATGGCTTATAAATGGCAATTTCAATTAGTGAGCCCTGAAGGTACAATCATTATACTTATAGTTATAAAACTACAAAAGATCTTATCGAAATAATGGCGGCGGTGCAGGTGTATTATATACTGATCGAACACAATTGAAGTTTGCAAAACGGCTAATCAGACAGACACTGCAGTCTGCACAGCTATTATTAAGTTCTAGTTTTAAAAAACTTACCGTGCGCGTGGTGGCGATCACTTTGACTTAATAAACTTCTCCCGGAGTTTTCTCCGTATAGTTATAGCTCATAACTGTCCAAGTATCATGCCCTGGTGTAACTGTAATGACAGGGGATATCACACGAGTTTAATCAACAGGCGACAAATGACAATGTTCAGGCCTCATTTTGTAAAAAAATATCTCAAAAGTTTACGAACTATCGAGTATCGATGACGAGCTTATACAATTATAGCCGGATAAGTCGTTAGTTTGTAGTTAAACATTAAAGTTTGGCTATTCACTATATTACTAATACTATACGGATACCCCATATATTTGATATGGGGTATAGTAATATAGTGAATAGCATAGCTTACTAGCTAATGGCTACTACTACATGATATGCATATTATAATATTAGGAGCTAGGTGCACGATAAAATTAAACTTGTTCGGATTTATAAAATGTTTTTACCATTGTTTTCTTGAGAATGCGAGCTTTTGCACAATAATAAATTTGTCGTACCTTTTTGAAATGATATTAAGTGAGTTCCGACTTGGTGTATAGCATAGCTTACTAGCTACTGGCTACTACTAGTACTACATGATATGCATATTATAATATTAGGAGCTAGGTGCACGATAAAATTAAACTTGTTCGGATTTATAAAATGTTTTTACCATTGTTTTCTTGAGAATGCGAGCTTTTGCACAATAACAAATTTGTCGTACCTTTTTGAAATGATAAGTGAGTTCCGACTTGGTGCCAAAAAGTAAGCGTAAAATTCGCATAATTTGACAAAATCCATTGATTTGTGATTGTCGTCGTTATATTTATAATTATATTCCGTCATATCTTTGGTTCCTGGATCGAATAAATGGGATTACATTTCTGAAAATTCTTCATCAAAATTCTCTCGAAATCGACTTTATAGTTGTTTCTGGTAGTAAGGAATGATATCTATCAGCTGCTTTTAGTCCCATAGAAAATTTTTGTTCCTAGCCGAAATTATCGCCGCTAAAAGGTCAGTGATTATGACATAAGTTATGTCTAATTGTATTGCGCGAGCGATTTTCAATCGCGCGTTCTGAAAATCGAGTCTAAAAATTTATCTTCTCCTACATTTTTTGAGCAATCACCCTCAAACTTTCAGGATATGTTCTTAGGATCAGTTAGAAGAGAACTCTAGAGCCAGAATTTTGAGATAGGCCTTTAAAGATTTTTAATTCGATTTTGAAAATCTTGGACCTCTAAAAATCAAGGTCCAAAATTTTCAAAATCAAATTAAAAATCTTTAAAGGCCTATCTCAAAATTCTGGCTCTAGAGTTCTCTTCTAACTGATCCTAAGAACATATCCTGAAAGTTTGAGGGTGATTGCTCAAAAAATGTAGGAGAAGATAGATTTTTAGACTCGATTTTCAGAACGCGCGATTGAAAATCGCTCGCGCAATACAATTACACATAAGCGCTGACCTTTGACCGGCGATAATTTTGGCTAGGAACAATATTTTTCTATGGGACCAAAAGCAGCTGATAGATATCATTCCCCTCTATCAGAAACAACTATAAAGTCGATTTCGAGAGAATTTTGATGAAGACCCCCCCGGCCCCCTTAAGTATTACATTTACTACACGTTGCAAAAACTTTCGCGCCTGAAAAATAAAACGCAACGTGTATCAGCGATAACATAAACAATGATAAAAGTAAAATGCGAATTTAAGATGTCAAAATACTGCCTAGCAAACCCAATATCAATAAAATCCTAACAATTAAGCTATAATATACATAACTAACTAGCTTCTTACAAACCAATAAAAATTTATCTAGCATCTAGATTCTAGAATGGAGTTTGGATCTACAACCAATGAAAATTTATGTTCAAAATAAACTGCAAATATATACACATATCATAATTATAATATATGAACATGACTGTTTACTCAGAAATTAACGCTATGTTTCAGAAACGACTGTAAAACTGAAAACGTGTAATTCTGGAGCATTTATATTTTACATGGACTGCAACTTAATCCTTCAAGAATCCAAACGGCGCCAAAGAAACATATAATTCACCATTCACGACGTCATCTCATTATTAGATATTTCATAGTCTTGGTCTCCAGGTATCAAACTTGCAAATATATACTTATTTATAAAATATACAATCCCGCCACTATAATTATCACTACAATATATCCTAACAACCCATTCATCTCCTTATAAATGGGCAACACGTGGTACAACAAGTACAACTCCCTAAAACACAGATGTAGTTCGGTTATTGAGTGTGTTGTCCAGGACTCTAAACTGCTCTAGAGACATGAAGAAGAGGACGTTCCAGGGCCCCAGTCTGCAGAAAGTTGGGACGAAACCCTTCCAAAGCGCAGGGACCCCCTCGTGGCGGGCAGTGTTCAACATCGTGTCTACCACGCCCTTGTAGATCTTCACCTAGAGGAGGAGGTGGGGCTCAACTTTTAAATTGGTTATAAGCTTAACAAACATTGTTTAGTATCCTTTAATAGAGACCAGTTACGTTTCAGCTTTTAGCCTTATTTCAGAAATACCAATTAAAATCCTTTTAAATGTTACTGATTACAAACAAAACCAAAGGTAAAAACTAACGTTAGGGTCATGCAGCAGTTTTTGGTTCATCATCCTTGTTTTAGCTACATCGATAGGTTGTGAGAAGCAAGACCCGAGGAAACCCGCAAATAAACTGGAGCCGAAGTGAGTTCTTTTGTTGTCCTGAAATTAATGATAATAGTGAAAAATTGTTAATTCTTAGAAATTGTTCATTCTTAGAAATCATTGCTATTGACTTATAGCTAAATATATTTATCTATTATTAGATAATTATATTAGATGTTGTTGTTGTTGTAATCTATTATTAATATTAAAGGCCAGTCTCCCGTATCGATATTGAGGAAGGAACGGTAAGTGGACCAGGACAGTACGGTGGAATCACATGGTACTCAGAATGATATTTCTGTAGATTAAATCCTGATCGCCTATTCTTCTAGAACATTCCATAGGACATAACCTACAAATTACACTTTATTAACTTCTTAGTTAAACTACCAGCTCTCACGCGGGGCAGTGGACTAGTTTAACACAGGGTAACTCTTGTATTTTTCGTGTAAACATTGGCCTCACCAAAGCACGCATCTTGACGTAGATTAGGGAGATTTCTGTTCAATAGGTATACTACTATTTGACCAAAACCCATAATCATGGGTAGAGTGGAGCGCTGCCAGTGTCTCTCTTTCCCAAACAAAAGGCAATGATATCAATTTGAATGACCGTTATCAAATGCAAAATGATACCGAGAATGAAATCGGTCGCTCGCTTTTCCCACTCATTCATGGCTTACGAATTGTAATAAGTTTCGATTTATAACATGTAATCTATTTCAATTGTAAATGAATGGGAAAAGCGAGCGACCGATTTCATTCTCGGTATCATTTTGCATTTGATAACGGTCATTCAAATTGATATCATTGCCTTTTGTTTGGGAAAGAGAGACACTGGCAGCGCTCCACTCTACCCATGATTATGGGTTTTGGTCAAATATCATCTCTTTTTGATTATAATGTCAGGGTACTTTACAAAGCCGAAATGTAAACTCATAACTTCATTAATATTAATAAGGAGGTGATTTCAACGATTTCGAAATTTTTCCTTTAAAAACATTTCCTTGTGTTTAGGTAAGCATATCGGTCGATCACTGACTGAATATGCCACTTTATACTCATTCAAGTTGGCATTAAATTCATATATAATGACATTGAACTGTCGTGGCAAAGCAGAATTTGTTCAAAATCACGAATGAGCAAAATTTTAACCTTTCGCACGTGCAAACCTTGAGCGGAAGTTGCGTGCGCATCCAATATTGAATCACCGTAAATTTTTGCATGATGGTGTTTTATATATAGTTTGATAAGCATGAAAAGTTTCAAAGTATTTCAAGAAGTACTGTAATCACAACGGCACTCCAAAGTTGACGGAAATTGGTGAAAACAGCAATTTTCAGTGATTTTAGCAATTTTCTATCAATTTGGGCGTGGCCCCACGTGTGCAACTTTTCGATTTTCAACTTTAAAACTAGCCTATGACACAATTTAGACCTTTAGGAAGCAAAATTGAGCTCCACAACCCAAGGGATGGTGCAACACCAGAGAATACTAGAACGTAAAATTAGCGTTTTTATAAAATTATTCTTTAAAAAAGCACTAACTTCAATAGCGAATATCTTTATGAAGGAGCAAGCTAGAAAAACTTTCCGGTAGATTTTCAGAATGCTTAAACAATTATCTAACTTCAATATGTCCTCAAATTTTGAATAAAATTACTCCTTAATGGCGTAAAATCGATTTTAAAAGTGATTACTTTGTGAAAAATCAAGTTTTAAAAATGGTTAACTTGATGACGTCATCAAGTGGTGATGATGACGTTGAATTACTTTTTAACATAATGTAAACTAAAGTCTAAACAATTATCTTCAAGACCTGTGGTCCGAAATGGCTGTATCTTTAAAGCGTCTGAATCTACGGACACCTAAATATAGCCTATAATTGACTGGCAAAGCGTCTATCCCTGAATATATATATGTATATATGTATTTGACCAAAACCCATAATCATGGGTAGAGTGGAGCGCTGCCAGTGTCTCTCTTTCCCAAACAAAAGGCAATGATATCAATTTGAATGACCGTTATCAAATGCAAAATTATACCGAGAATGAAATCGGTCGCTCGCTTTTCCCACTCATTCATGGCTTACGAATTGTAATAAGTTTCGATTTATAACATGTAATCTATTTCAATTGTAAATGAATGGGAAAAGCGAGCGACCGATTTCATTCTCGGTATAATTTTGCATTTGATAACGGTCATTCAAATTGATATCATTGCCTTTTGTTTGGGAAAGAGAGACACTGGCAGCGCTCCACTCTACCCATGATTATGGGTTTTGGTCAAATATCATCTCTTTTTGATTATAATGTCAGGGTACTTTACAAAGCCGAAATGTAAACTCATAACTTCATTAATATTAATAAGGAGGTGATTTCAACGATTTCGAAATTTTTCCTTTAAAAACATTTCCTTGTGTTTAGGTAAGCATATCGGTCGATCACTGACTGAATATGCCACTTTATACTCATTCAAGTTGGCATTAAATTCATATATAATGACATTGAACTGTCGTGGCAAAGCAGAATTTGTTCAAAATCACGAATGAGCAAAATTTTAACCTTTCGCACGTGCAAACCTTGAGCGGAAGTTGCGTGCGCATCCAATATTGAATCACCGTAAATTTTTGCATGATGGTGTTTTATATATAGTTTGATAAGCATGAAAAGTTTCAAAGTATTTCAAGAAGAACTGTAATCACAACGGCACTCCAAAGTTGACGGAAATTGGTGAAAACAGCAATTTTCAGTGATTTTAGCAATTTTCTATCAATTTGGGCGTGGCCCCACGTGTGCAACTTTTCGATTTTCAACTTTAAAACTAGCCTATGACACAATTTAGACCTTTAGGAAGCAAAATTGAGCTCCACAACCCAAGGGATGGTGCAACACCAGAGAATACTAGAACGTAAAATTAGCGTTTTTATAAAATTATTCTTTAAAAAAGCACTAACTTCAATAGCGAATATCTTTATGAAGGAGCAAGCTAGAAAAACTTTCCGGTAGATTTTCAGAATGCTTAAACAATTATCTAACTTCAATATGCACTCAAATTTTGAATAAAATTACTCCTTAATGGCGTAAAATCGATTTTAAAAATGATTACTTTGTGAAAAATCAAGTTTTAAAAATGGTTAACTTGATGACGTCATCAAGTGGTGATGATGACGTTGAATTACTTTTTAACATAATGTAAACTAAAGTCTAAACAATTATCTTCAAGACCTGTGGTCCGAAATGGCTGTATCTTTAAAGCTTCTGAATCTACGGACACCTAAATATAGCCTATAATTGACTGGCAAAGCGTCTATCCCTGAATATATATATGTATATATGTATATATATATGTATGTATATATCACGACAATCTGTCGTAAAACAGGGGTTCTAGAAAACCCATTTCCCGATGCTCCTGAAACTTGAAACTTTTTTTGCAGTCGATTTGGTCAACGTCTAGACGCCCTGAAAAATTTCAGATCTCTAACTCAATTTTAACATGGTTTTTAAGGCACCTGAATATGGCGATTTCGGGTTTTTTACCGAATTTCGTATAACAGTGCTGGCGCGAATTTTATGCAAATTTCTTCAAAATCTCAACATAACTATTTCTTATTTCTGTCATCTTTGACATCAAATTAGAATGTTTTGAACTAAAAAATAAATCTGCTGAACGACTTCCGATGAGTCTTAATGCCTGAAAAACTCCTGCCGGAGGCGGCGGCCTTCCAACGTGTACCAAAGGGGGTGTAAAGGAGTTATGATAGTAAAGGGGGTACAATAGTAAAGGGGGTACATAGTATTCCCCCAATAAAGACACCGCTCGTGCTTGCCAGCACTGTGATATATATATGTATGTATATATCACGACAATCTGTCGTAAAACAGGGGTTCTAGAAAACCCATTTCCCGATGCTCCTGAAACTTGAAACTTTTTTTGCAGTCGATTTGGTCAACGTCTAGACGCCCTGAAAAATTTCAGATCTCTAACTCAATTTTAACATGGTTTTTAAGGCACCTGAATATGGCGATTTCGGGTTTTTTACCGAATTTCGTATAACAGTGCTGGCGCGAATTTTATGCAAATTTCTTCAAAATCTCAACATAACTATTTCTTATTTCTGTCATCTTTGACATCAAATTAGAATGTTTTGAACTAAAAATAAATCTGCTGAACGACTTCCGATGAGTCTTAATGCCTGAAAAACTCCTGCCGGAGGCGGCGGCCTTCCAACGTGTACCAAAGGGGGTGTAAAGGAGTTATGATAGTAAAGGGGGTACAATAGTAAAGGGGGTACATAGTATTCCCCCAATAAAGACACCGCTCGTGCTTGCCAGCACTGTGATAAATGGGAAGGGGGGGGGGGGGGGGGGGGGGGGGGGAGAGGGAGAGCCGAGAGGGGGTGAGGGAGGCCGGGGGGGGGGGGCCTGGACCACATTGCACTGATATGAAGAATGATTTGGTATCACTATTTTTGAGTGGACAATTTTTGAGAAAATGAGAAGTCTATGCTGAATTTCTCAGATTCAAAATAATTTTTGGGATATTTTTGAGTATTCCGGTGAAAATGGTCAAATTCTCAGATTCAAAAATACTCATGACCCCCCCAACCCCCCCCCCCCCCCATATACATTTGAGTTTGACAACTTTGGAGAAGTTTGATTGCGTAAGGACAGTTACTTTTAATACAGCTACAGGTAAATGCTTCATAAGCAAGTTGCATGGTAGAGAAAAGTATATTACGCTAGTAGTTGTAGCTTAATAAACTAAGGTAAAATACCGTTCATTTTGTTTTTGAATGCTAAATTATGATTAATTTTTAAATATATTGCTGAATTTCGAACTGTTTTTTCTTCTTTTCTTTAATATTAATCGCTAATGTTAGTTAATTACTACTACTAATTTCGGTTATTTGTATCGTCAGCTTGCTCTTGCTCTGCTATACAGTACTGAGAGAAAGTTTACTAATTTCCAACATGGAATCTACCAATACTAAATAACAATCTACAACTCAAGTTCGATGTTGAACATTTCCATTGTACGTCAGGGACAAATGTACGTCAGGGACAAATGTACGCGGTATATTTTAAGTAGCGCCCACCGTGCTATTTACTTGTGTGTACTTCAGTGTCGAGTTCCGGTGCTAACTAGATATATGTAGCAGTCAAACAGGTGCCGCTGGATAGGGCTCAGTCCGTACAGCCAGTAGGTACTGTTAAAAATGATAAAACGAGCAGTCAATCCCTACCATTCAGAGAGAAAAACGTCGCTCTTAATAGACTCGTAGTTGTAGGATGGGTCCAAATTGGGTTTATTTGTCCGGTGTACTGTCCATATATGAAATATATGGGCATCACGTGGTGTACCCAGTAGCTAGCTCGTAGTTTAGTACAGCGAATTATTCGTTACACGTTATGAGTTCAAATGGTCATTGGATTTACTGAACCTTAAAACTAAAAGTGAGTCACAACTTGATTCTCAGATACTGCATGTTCAGGACCCGAGGAAGGCGAGTGAGTGTATTTGTACATATTATTATAGCTCAATGTGTAGTACATTACGTGTTTTTAGGGTCTGCAGTATGTCTGGCACTAAGAGCAGGATATGCTGGAGGGGGATTATTCAAAACATATAAGTGATACGAAAAGATTGTATTAGCATTGTATATCCTGCCTAGGTCGATCCAAGTGTAGTCTGGAATAAGTTTTGTGACAGCACTTCTCTCCGTTTATTCTCACATGAGCAAACTTAACTTATCAGGATCCAATCGAGTATCTTCTCGTAGCTTGTCCGGAAACGGGAAAGGTCTTGAGAGGTCGTCCTTGATAACGATGTCTGCTAACAGGAAAATATCTCGTAGATTTAATGTACAATATGCATGGTTAGTAACCATTGGATACCCAATACGACAACCTCAAGTTACACTGTATGCTGAGGCTTTTGTTTAGGGTCAAGTATTTATTTACGTTCTTAGGGTTTTAGTACAGTTTTATTTTAGTTAAATTAGGGTTCACCTCTCCGCTCTAGCTCAACATACACTATACAGTGTAACGAATACGGCGAATTATTCGTTACCCTGTATAGTGTATGTTGAGGCTTTGTTACGTTTTGTATTATTAGATCGTATATTTTATTAGATTGTGTAAATTATCTAGTTATATTTTATACAATATCTTTGTCGCATAGTAGCGGGGTAGTAAATACAGTGTTTCGTTTCGTTTCGTTTCGATCGTTTTATATTAGCAAAATATCTTCGCACTGTGTCACCTCCTCCTTCAATACAATTCTTGTTGAAGGGTATTATTCATAGCTTAATAGAATTTAAAGCTTTGTTTTTCAATTTAAGCAGCTAGATATTACTAATTTAACATTACTTACTTGTTAACAATAATCTGTAATCTGTAATCTTTAATCTGTACTCTGTACTCTGTAATCTGTTATCTGTAATCTGTAATCTGTAATCTTTAATCTTTAATCTGTAATCTGTAATCTTTAATCTGTAATCTGTAATCTGTACTCTGTAATCTGTACTCTGTAATCTGTTATCTGTAATCTGTACTCTGTACTCTGTAATCTGTTATCTGTAATCTGTAATCTGTAATCTGTAATCTGTAATCTGTAATCTGTAATCTGTAATCTGTAATCTGTAATCTGTAATCTGTAATCTGTAATCTGTAATCTGTACTCTGTAATCTGTAATCTGTAATCTTTAATCTGTAATCTGTAATCTGTACTCTGTAATCTGTAATCTGTAATCTTTAATCTGTAATCTGTAATCTGTACTCTGTAATCTGTAATCTGTAATCTTTAATCTGTACTCTGTAATCTGTAATCTGTAATCTGTAATCTGTAATCTGTAATCTTTAATCTGTAATCTGTAATCTGTAATCTGTAATCTGTAGTCTGTAATCTGTAATCTGTAATCTGTAATCTGCATAATAATATGATTTGTACACATTTCCGCGCCCACGCCTGCTCACAAACGCCTGCCCGTGGCCAGCTCACACATTATTTACCTACAGTCGTGTGTGACACATTATTTGTAGCGAAGTTTGTTTAAAAACTATCAGTTCCGTATTTTGTTATCTGATTATTATATAGTCTGTGGCAGTGTATAATGTGGAAATTGTTACTTTCACTATGCGATAAGACTGATACATTGCTCGTATGTTCTTGTAACCATACTTAGCTTGATTCGGTGTTATAGTGTAACTGTGACAGAAATCAGTAATATCGATATTTCGTGTGTCCGAATACAATACTTTATTGTCAGTAGACATCTATTATTTATATTATAATATATATATAATATATATCGATATATAGTAGTTGAGATGAGAACAGTACAATCGTGTGTGTTTGTTAAATTAGTGTTTGTTGTAGCGACAGTATAAGATGACTTGATGTAGTTGTAGCGAACATTGGATTCTGGGGTCAAACACGTGATCAATCCGTAGCTCATCTGGGATAATACTGTAATTATACCATAATATTATAATTATAATTGTCTAATTACAGTCCTGTCCCAGATGATCCATGGATTAAGTCAACTTTAAGGTAAACAATTAATATACCGCACCTCTCCATCAGAATCGGCATCTATAATAAAGGGTTGTTAGGTTGTACTACATGTAGTACCATTTCTGAAATGGTATTGTCCACACCGAGAGTTGTCTCAATGCCGCGAGTGTGTCCTTGGGGGGAGGGGGGGGGGGGTGTGGCTAACTAACCATACCAACATACAATTTGCATTTCAGTTCTTGTTTGTTGCGAGTGTCTGGCTAACTAACAATACAAATGATTGCATTTAAGTTCTTGTTTTTTACCGGATTTTGTGGTCTTAAGAATCCTGGGAATCCTATGACCAAGCATTCAATTAAATTAACATGAGGTCTCATATCTGAAAATCTTTGGTGCGCTGTGCACTGTGCTACAGTCGTCAAAACGTTTGTGTTTTTAAACTCTTCGCTTAACCCCTCCACTAACTCCCGTCCCCGCAGTAAAATGTGAAGAATGCCCAAATAAGGATGAAAGAGGTCTCCATGTTGCCACAGTGACGCAGTTGATGAGAGACGAGGATGAGTTGCCCAGAGACGACACCTGTTGCGGCGGCCTCTGTCAGAAGAGATGTTGTCTAGACTACGGCAAGAAGAGGTTCCCGGCAGTCACGTGGGCTCCCCACTACACTCTAGAGAAGGGGAATGCTGACCTGATAGCGGGAACCACAGTGGGACTGATGGTGGTCCCACAGAGTCTGGCGTACGCCATCACTGCAGACCTCCCCGCAGTGTATGGGTTATACTCCGCGTATATAGGCGCCTGGATATATGTACTGTTCGGAACCAGTAAGGATGTGACTGTGGGCCCTACCTCCATCATGTCCTCTCTTGTAGCTAGCACTGCTAACGGGGACATTGCCTACGCTATCTGTCTCTCTCTGGTAGCAGGTATCTACATGCTGATAATGGGGTTACTTGAGTTCGGCTGGGTGATGTGGTTGATATCTTACCCAACCCTAGCTGGGTTCACTTCTGCAGCAGCTATTAAGATAGCGGCAGGAGAGATAGGGGACCTGGTGGGCATTAAGGACTGGGACAGTGACTTTGTGGACGTTTGTGAGGACATTGTCACTAAGTACGATCAGATAAGATGGACAGATGCTCTGTTAGGATTCGCTTGTCTCGCTATTTTGTTCCTGTTGTGGTTGTTACAGAAGATCTCAGCTATAAGGTACGGGATGGAACTGGTAGAGAAAGGTAAAACTCCCTTGTTCTACTTCTGGAGATCGCTCTGGTATGTGGGACTCATGAGGAATATCATAGTTGTTCTGGGTGCTGCACTGCTGGATTATTGTCTGTATGTTGACGATGACACTCCCTTTATTGTTATAGGGTATATAGAGCCAGGCTTACAATCTCTAGATATCAGCGTGTTTCAGAAGTTCCACGACCAGTGGACCAGCTTGTTAATAGACGGACTGGTAATAGCTCTGATAGGCCTCCTAGAGGGGTTAGCTGTCGCTAAATCCTTCAGTAAGAAGAACAGGTACGAGATCAACAACAGTCAGGAGATGGTGGCTCTGGGGCTGTGTAATATAGCGGGCTCTTTCTTCCAGTGCTACCCTGTCACTGGCTCCTTCTCCCGCTCCTCTGTTAACAGTGAGTCTGGGGTCCGGACTCAGTTCGGAGGGTTTTGGACCGGGCTGCTTGTCATGTTGTGCTTACTCTTCCTCACTGTTTTCTTCTCATACATCCCCATGGCTGCTCTGGCAGCAGTGATAATATTCGCGGTTGTGTTCATGGTTAACTTCTGTATCCCAGTGGAGATGTGGAAAGTAAGGAAGCTGGGAACAGTGAGCTGGGTGATAACGTTCTGGAGTGTTCTGCTCCTGGGTATAGAGTATGGTATAATAGTGGGGGTGGTGTTTGATCTGATAATCGTGATAGCAAAGAACCTGAGACCGGACACCCACACTCACGATATGGGGAGCGGGGTGATACTGGTGGATGTGGACAGTGGCTGGAACTACCTGAGTGTTAACTATGTGAAGGAGAGGGTGGAGGAGGCTTTGTTCTGGGAGAGGAAGAACTTCCTCTTCTCACAGTCTGTAACCGTTAATGCTATAATCCTGGACATGAGCAAGTTCAGTGAGTTGGACTACACGGCCATGGAGAGTCTCAAGGGCATTCAGGAGGATTGTCGGAGCGAGAAGATATTGTTGTTCAGTGTAGGATTGTCAGCGGAGTTATGTGAGGATGCTCAGAACTTTGGGGTAGTTATACCTAACTTTGACGCGACTGAGGACGCTGTCCGTGCTGCAAAGAGGGAGATAGGGTTAGCAATAGCTATCAGAGACCATCTTCAGCAGCACGAGGCTAGAACGGAGGATAATAAGAGGTATGGGACCTTTAGAGGGGAGCAGCCTAACAGCACCCAACCCGTAATCAGGACAGCAGAGGAGGAGGAGGAGGAGGAGGGAGGAGAGGAGAGACAAGTGACACCTGACCACTCTGCTGATGAAAAATGAGCATGATTTCTCTCCGATAGTCGGGTTTTGCTTAGATAATTTAATGCTTGCTTGACTTAGTTTAGTCAATGTAATAATGGTAATTAAGCTGGTCTTAATTATATTTAAAGATGAAAAATGTTCATGCAAATCGTATTTCCGTTTTGTTGAGGAATGACTATATTATTGTAATGAAATGTTTATTTGAGTTTGAACTCACACTGATCCAAATTCTGATCACGAACTGAATTTTTTGAAGATATTCAGATCAGACAGATAGTTTAAGGACTTTAGGGGATATTATACATAATAATATATTGTGTATTATGTATAATATAATACATAATACAGTTTCACCTCCGTCGGAGTGATAATGCATTGCAGCCAGATACCAATATTTTATAAGGAGATAAAGATAAGAGAGCATACCTCGAACCCAGCAGCAATAAGATTCCTCTTCATCACATCATATGTAGGGATCTGCACACCGTTCACCACAGCTGCACGCTGCGCGTTAGGAATAGCCCCTCTGTACACTCCGCGCATACCTGAAACATTCTCATTACTTCATTAGTAAGGTAGAGGGAGGGGGGCTTGTTGGATTAACAGAGGAATTTAAATAAATCAGCTGCTGAATAGTATTTAGTAACCATAGTAACGAACCCTCTGTTTTGAAGATGCTGATAAAGCTGCGTATAAGAGGAGGTGATTTAGCGTGGTGAGATGCCTGCATCCTCACTCTCATCACATCTGTAGGAGTTGTTACCTGGGCAACAAGGGGGTCATTACCTGGGCAACAAATAAAAACTTTAATTTAGTTAGAATAATTAATACTTATAATTGGAATAAGTCATGATTTAAAACGTATAATAAACACTCCGGAAGAGGACGGATAATAAAGCGATGGTAAACTCACATAAGATCCGATAACACCAGCTGTACCACCTAACAATACCAGGTGAGGTAAAGGCATCTTTAGTCCTGTGTTATTGCGCTCCCATCTGTCTTTTATACTGTAGTATATTCCTGAGAGGGCGACAAAACACATGTTAGGAACGAGAAATCTATCTTTATAATATGTGTTTCGGTTGTAAAGAAATATCTTATAGGCCCCCCCCCTCTTGTAACTGACACAGAGTAACACCCGACTCACCTAGTCGAGCGTGGTTACCTAGGCAACAAGACTCACCTAGTCGTATAGTACCATACGTGCCCTGTCTGAGCAGAGCAAACTTAGCTCCAGTAAACAGGGACATTACTCCCTCCGTTCTACCCACTGTAACCAGGGTGTGGAACATTCCTCGGTACTTGAGGGTGGTTAACCTCGCATCCGCTACCTGGCCCTGGGGAGGTGGTTAGTAACTAGGTGGGTGTGGGGGGGGGGGGGGGAGGGGGGGGGGGCAGGAACTCAACACTCTACACTCCATAATATCATGTTATATGCCAACCAATTGCAGTAAGGAACACGTACCTGTATCTGCAACCTTGTCTTGCTCATGTCAATAGGGAAGGTGATAGCTTCCGCAGTCATGGCAGCCAGTCCTCCGTACACAAACGCCTGCCACGGCATGTCCTCAAGTCACGTGCCTCTTAACTCCTTATATGGATATCACGTGTCCCTCTTACTGTCAGCTGGTACTTTATGTTGAGGTACTTGATGTTGATTCGTGGTGGTAGTGATAATATTACATCACAAAATCCTAAAGTTAGGGTGAGATAAGAGGGAACGGGGGAATGATTCTTCGGTTTAAAATTGAGTTTTTAGAGTTTAATTCAACTGTTCATGAATAAATTTCGGATAATCTAAGTAAAGATAAGGTATTGAAATGCTGCAATAATATTTCAGAAATCAGTAGAATTTACATCGCGATCCGAGCATTATATCATGATTTGTATAGTTGTATGGGTGAGTACCTGGAGAGCACTCCTTATATGGGTATCACATGTCTCCTTATATGGGTATAACGTGTCTCGGGCCGTCTTGATAATCAAAACTCGAAATCAAAGAATCGAAAAAACATTACAATCAACTATGGCGAATTGGCGAAGACTACAGTCAGCGAATGAATGACAATAAAAAATTAACGTCATAAAATAAGAGTTGTAAAAACATTAAACATCTAAAAAGCAAAAATAGACAACATTTAAATCTCACAATAACAGACCCGGTCAAAAGGCAGCGAAAATTCCTAGAAACCCATGTTACGTTGTGTGCTCTTTGTTTATTTTGCTGTTTATGGGACACGGTCCTAGTTTCCTGCTAGCATACATTAAAATATAAGACAAGAAACAGCAAGCTGTATAACTGACATGATTCTGAAAGCGAGTCTGAAGCAAATTAAAAACTTGAACCCAACGCCTAGAGCTTCACTAACACGGGAGTGAACTTTTTGAACTCAATTTCAAGGTTGTTTCCAGTTAATAAGTTTTTCTTGATAAGGTTAATTACAACCTGAATTTGCCCAATTTGCAACCCTGGAAATATTCTCGATATCTAATACATAACTTACATAATTATTAATTAACGATAAACAACGTACACGTGTTTAAAAAACTCCCCTCCAAATCTTGTGGCTGCCAGTTGTTCGGAATATAACATACTAGGGAGAAGAGGCACAACATCTGCAAATTATTCAAATGAACTACAAATATATACAAGAGACCAAAGATTCCACAATAAAAACTAGTGCATGACGCACCACGTCATGCACGTGCAGTGCGCCTAACAACTCAACCCTCACAGAAACTAAGAGGCCTGTTCTGAAGGACCCAGTCCTCGCCAAACTCATCATCTCCCTCCAGCAAACACTCTGATAACAGTTCCCTCACTACCTCGCTGTTATCAGTACTGGTTTCTGGAGAGTCACGTGACGTATCGCGCGGCTCCGGGAATTTGTCACGTGACATATCGCGCGGCTCCGGGGATTCGTCACATGACGTATCGCGCGGCTCTGGGGATTTGTCACGTGGTCCTATTGTTTTATTTGACTCTCGAGAGGAGGTTAATTCATCTAGAGATCTGCTGATAGGACTGTTCATTTCAGGTTCAGTTCCGATTTCTGTGGAATGTGAGGGAATGGCGGGAAGTGTGGTTGAGGGGTCAGTATCTGGTGTTGGTGTCCTGTCTGGCAAAGTACTTTTCGGGGCCGTTCCTGGAATAGAGTATCTTTCTAACTTCCTCAATTATTTTATTATTAGATCAGATGCAAGTACTTTAAATGATACAGATTTGAACCTAAATAAAGTACATAGCTTTGTTAAAACTAACCAAGATTGAGCGCCAGTGAAGTTTCAAGTTCCTATTTTTCCCAGTCCCCTCAATCCCAGCCTCTTCTTTCAAGCCTCTGCTACACCTAGAGGAGGAGGAGGGTTCGGTCTCCTCTCCTCGTCGCTCTACATTCGGACTAGAACTGGAGATGTGACTGTTGCAGTCCGTGTAGCTTGTATCGTCCTCACTCTGCTCTGCCGATACTAGTCCCATTGCGCGTCTCAACGCTTCACATACCTGGTAAACAGCTGTTGTAGTGTCTCATTCCTAGTTCCCATAAACATATAAAACGTTGCTAAATGACATTTTTATTGAGCGACTAAAATTGGAGAGTCTTATTCATAATCTCACTATGCAGATTGAAAATGTCTCATTTGAATAACGCATTATCGTAATGTAAAGAGGATCAGGAGTAATAATAACGTCCTCACCTCGTCGAACTGGGAGAGATGTAGAGCGAGGAGACCGTCCTTATTCTTAATCCCAGGGGGAGCATTGTACCGGAGGAGCAGGTTAGTCAGAGGTATATGGCCCCACCGTGCAGTGCAGTGCAGGGCCGTGTCGCCCCGGTCGTTACCTAGCGATATGTCGCACTCCGCGTCCAGGAGGAGCAGCGCGCACCCACTGTGCCCGTTTGTGCACGTGAAATGTAGCGGGGTGTTCCCTTGCGCATCTCTGCAGTTCACTGCACAGCCTGGAGAAGGGGCTTGTTATATTGTCTCTCACTTTGTGACACTTTTACAATTTAGCCTAAACTCGTCGGTGTGTTCGTCCGTCTATGTTGTGTGCAATATAAAGTTAGATAAACACTCACCAGCTGTTATGAGGATGTCGACTATAGGTTCGTTGTTGTATTGACAGGCCAGATGAAGGGGAGATAACTTATGTCGGGCAGTTACTGAAATAAAAATGTTATGTACATCTCTGAAATAGAACATATCCTTATTTTCGTTACCAGAGTACAGTTGAGATTTGAATTTTAGTGGGTTAAAAACTCGCAAAATCATACGCCATATTATACCTCTCGCCCGATACCTCTCGCCCGATACCTTAAGGCTTAATTCAAAATATCCTTACAAATTACTCATATATTAGTAACCTGCATCCAGCATCCAGTTAAAATGTCCCGCAAAGAGCAGAGCCAGGTCAGCGTGACCGTACAGCGCTGCAATGTGGAGAAGTGTATAATGATCCGAGTTGCGGAGCAGGTCCGGGAGACGGGGGACTGCTCCACCGCTTCAAAACACTCTTCACATTGACACAGCGGGTGGCACTTCGTCTTGATGGACTGCAGGCGGGGTCGCGTCATGCTGGATGTTCTGAATGCCTGGGCATGTTGTTTTTAGAGTTATAATTGCGGTTAATTGAGACATAAGCTAGGTTTAAAGTCGAAAATCGGAAAGTTGCACACGTGGGGACATGCCCAAATTGATGTAAGATTGCTAAAATCACTGAAAATTGCTGTTTAAACGATATCAGCTGTGGCATCCACAATACTACAATACGATTGAAAATACGATTCACTATTTTTCTTTATAATATTTACAGCATTTTTGTTATATTTTGTCATCCATAAGTTCTTTACCCTTAGATTAAGCTTATGTTTGATCATCTGTAAATCCCCCTCTGCGCAAAGTCTGAACAACTTCTCTTGCTCCTCGTTCAAGTTACAAGTAACTGATCTCTTTTTGATCTGCTCCAATTCCAGCTCACTGCTGAACAGCTGAAATGATAAAAGAAGGTAAGTAACTGGACAATACGTTAAACTTAATTATAACTTATCAGACGTTAACGAGGTCTGCGGCTTTGTTAACAAGGTTTGGCCTGTAGAGGGCCCGCAGTAGTCCCGTTACCTTAGTATTGCTGTACAACTACTATATAATCAGACGTTTATTATAACTAATCTGAGGCTTCATTTAGCTCCATAATTGGTTGTGAAAATTCAGATAAAGTGTAAGCCGTGTTTATCGAGGTTCCTATAAACAGAAAGAGTGTAATTTCACAGTTATCGTGTCCAGTGTCTTGCACTGATCTTTTTTATTTGAGATGTAGAGCCCAGTGGTTATACATTAATTATGTTATTATATAATCTATTTTACATTAGTATTGTTAGAGTTCTATATAATATAACCGAAAAAAGCATATCGATTAGGTTTAAAACTATGAAGCCAATATAATATGTTTTCAGCGCAAAACATATTAAATTATTAGTTTTTTTCCGTTATATAATCGATTTTACATTAGTATTGTGCAATGGTTAGAGTTTTATAACCGAAAAAGGGTACACCAATTAAGTTCATATTTATGAGGCCAGTAAAATGTGTTTCGTTGGTTTTTATTGTCCTTTTTCTATTCTACGAAAATGTTGAAACTTTACTAAGAAATTAAAATCACAATCATAGTTATATATCTACAGGGTGTCCCAAAAAACACTACACAATAAGAAACCCTCCTAATTTTATCAGTTTGAACTCATTGGTTTTGATCTCTTAGCATGATTTTCTAAAGGGTTAGGAGACTTTTTAGGACCATTGGGAGTCTCATATGAACTTGATGGGCAACATTTTTTCGATGTTAAAGACATGCGAAGAAATCTTGGTGTGATCCCAAAATAGGTGATAGTTTTCGTCCACGATGGAATCCTAGTTTTGAAACGTTTAGACTGCCCCAAGTTGAAGTATTCTTCACAATGAGAACTGAAATGGAGGTTTTTGATATGGTCCAGCATGTTTTGGGAGCATTTTCGGGCCACACCCTTTTTTAACCTTTAACTGCGTAATTTTGCCCTATTTTCATATTATTTTAAATTTTTGGCTTCCTTGATCTGTCAGTACACTTACCAAGAAACATATGCGACCATTAAAGCTAGAAAATTAGCGACTTTCGCATAAAAAATTGCATAATTTATGCAAATTCGGCCTATCGTCCATATTTGGGTTTCAGGCCAGCTGGAAGATGACCATTTGTGAGCACCTCTTGGGACTTTTAGCATTAACTGTGGTGTTCGGTAGTTAGATGAGACAAAAAGGAACAGTTTGCAATCAAATTCATAACAAAAGTTTTTTCCTCTTGGCTCAGCGCTCCGAATGGTGGGCGAGCCCATAATTTGAGGATTATTCCGAAAATTTTTGACATTTTTAAAATGATGACTTAAAATAGTTTGCTTAAGTTTTCAGAAGTCACAAAAAAACAAATCTCCCAACTTTTTTAGGTAAACATACTAAGACATGAGTACCATTGAAGGAAAATTGAGGAAATTAGGAGGATTTCTCACTGGGTAGTGTTTTTTGGGACACCCTGTATATAACAATCAAACTCAATTCAAATAAACAAACAAGTCTTCTTGTGTAACATTAGTCTAACACTGAGACTAATTACTGTAAACGTTTCTCACAATCATATTGATCTACCACAACTGGTTACCATGGTTACCATGAAGCTCGTCTGAAAAATATCGAATAGAGAATGAGAGATGTGATTACTGATAACAACCGGTAATTAAACCTAAAAATGGGTATCTGAGGAGCTGGAGTCCTATTGTCTCAGTCAATTAAAGACGCTCGGCGAAAAGACTAAATTGGGGCTACAGTAAAGGAAAGCAAACCGTTGTTAAGTTGTGTATATAAGACAAAGATGTCTTCGTTGATTATGTCTAAATGGGGGCATGCCGGCAGGGGTGGATCATTAATCTACAGACCACCAGATTACCTATCAATTATGCTGACTAGTTTCTTACATTCCCCGTTCAAATGGTTAAAGGTTTATTTAACCATTTGACCTCTCCCCCGTTTATTTGTTATACCGAAACACTAGAGAGAGAGAGAGAGAGAGAGAGAGAGAGAGAGAGAGAGAGAGAGAGAGAGAGAGAGAGAGAGAGAGAGAGAGAGAGAGAGAGAGAGAGGGAGAGGGAGAGAGAGAGAGAGAGAGAGAGAGAGAGAGAGAGAGAGAGAGAGAGAGAGAGAGAGAGAGAGAGAGAGAGAGAGAGAGAGAGAGAGAGAGAGAGAGAGAGAGAGAGAGAGAGAGAGAGAGAGAGAGAGAGAGAGAGAGAGAGAGAGAGAGAGAGAGAGAGAGAGAGAGAGAGACATTCACTACATTACTCAGCAAATAATAAAATACCGAATTGGAACAAAAGTTTCTACTAATGATGTATCATGTATCCATCACAAAAATTCCGAGCTGTTTTCAAAATTTTGATTTAGAAAGGGACAGGTGCAGGGGTAGTGAGATGTGCTGAGGGGGACATGGTTAATAGATGTTAATAATAATCGCTTATCACTCTCTACGCCATTAGTAATGTTATTGTTGTCCTCTGTAACTTTATCACTGTTGTCCTCTGTAACTTTATCACTGCCCTAAAGCATTGATACATTTCAAGCCTTTTCGTATGCATAATATATATACATATTTTGTATGTTTTCTATTTTGTCAAAGTGCCAAGTCGGATAAAAATCATCGTCGCTATTTGACCTTGTGTGTTTGATATGCTTGAAAACACGATATGATTAAAATGCTCTATTAAAGGGCATTAATAACCCATTAATTAAACCAATATTTGATCGGTTATAAGCTGCGTCGGATGTGAATTGTGAAGAAATATGTTTGACAGATCTTCTCGTAGTATTAGTATTAGTATTAGTATTAGTATTAGTATTAGTATTAGTATTAGTATTAGTATTAGTATTAGTATTAGTATTAGTATTAGTATTAGTATTAGTAATATTAGTAGTAGTAATATTAGTAGTAGTAATATTAGTACTAGTATTAGTATTAGTATTAGTATTAGTATTAGTATTAGTATTAGTATTAGTATTAGTATTAGTATTAGTAATATTAGTATTAGTATTAGTATTAGTAATAGTATTAGTATTAGTATTAGTAATATTAGTATTAGTATTAGTATTAGTATTAGTATTAGTATTAGTATTAGTATTAGTATTAGTAATATTAGTATTAGTATTAGTATTAGTATTAGTATTAGTATTAGTATTAGTATTAGTATTAGTATTAGTATTAGTAATATTAGTATTAGTATTAGTATTAGTATTAGTATTAGTATTAGTATTAGTATTAGTATTAGTATTAGTATTAGTATTAGTATTAGTATTAGTATTAGTATTAGTATTAGTATTAGTATTAGTATTAGTATTAGTATTAGTATTAGTATTAGTATTAGTAATTAGGCTAAGTAGCTGATCGAATGACACGATGTTTCAATGTGAAGGAATAATCAGCATAATTGTATAAATTATTACTTTATTAGCCATTAAAACTTTGTGTCGTTTGTCTACTACTTATAATTTAAGTTGGACAGTAGTTGTGTCGTACATAACTACTATCATGTTACTATAGTGCTGTTAGTTGCAAATATTTAACACATCTTCATGAATTTCAGTTTTAATTTTCTTGAGGGGACGAGGTTAATTCTGAAATAATAAACTGAAATAATTCAGATTGTCTCCAGCGAACATGGTTACCATGGTTACTCCAGCGAACGTACACTGTCGCCTCTGATGACTGTGTTCATTCTCCAACAAGTTTGGTGTCACATTTGTTTCATACTAGGATTGGTGGGAAATATCTTTGTCTTACACGGAACTATAACTCAAAATGCAATCAGACTGGACAAGATGTCTCAATGGATCATCAAGAACCTTGCCTTCGTCGACACTTTTGACTGCGTTTTTGTCTTGCTGCCCATGTTGATAATACAGTACGGAGGAAACGTTTGGATTTTTGGAGATGCGCTGTGTGCTGTGAGTGCAGCTTGCCGGTTCACTTTCTTGAACGCCAACATATTTCTCATCAACGCTCTTTCCATCAACAAACTCTATAGATGTGTATTTCCATTACGAAACTTAGTGCCTTCCAAAAGACAAATGGTACTCATTACTTCAATGGCAGTTTCCTTCAGTTTAATACCAGCAATTTGGATCGGTATTGGATTAGCTACAGGATTCACTTCAGCAAAGTTTCATCCGAGTAGATCATCTTGCGAACAGACCCCTTTCGACTTGTCTACTAAATTGGTCATAAAAATGATAGATAGAGCAGTGTTGATATTTATTGTAGCATTTCCTTGTCTTGCTTTAATCGTGAGTAATGCAGTTCTTATTGGGTATGCTATAAGGAAAACACATACACGAATAAACAAAATGAATATCCTGATCGTAATCTTGGTAACTGCTTGCTTTTTAGTATCCTTTGTACCAATATTCATTGTCCTTGGCCTCAGAATCCATGGACCACCAAGGGACTTTGCCTGGGCAGCTGCCTTTCTTTCATCATGGACAAACCCGTTCATCTACGTAACAGTGAACACACGTTTCAGAGTCTACACAAAAAACAAGCTTCTTTTCTGGAGGAAATCAGAAGCAGTGTTCACATCTCAGTTCATGATGAGCAGGACTACTCAGTCCGGAGTCAGTACAACTAGACTTGTCATAGTAACATGACAGTAGTTGCCATAGTAACATAAGAGTCGACTACAGTTAACTCAGACTCCATAATGTCATTGCGTAGTGAAGCCTGGCCTAGGAGCGACTTCAAAGACTAACTAAAATTTAATTTTAACTAATGCTGAAACTCATGGTTTGTGTATGATTTGTATGCATCTAGAATCAATGATAAAGACTTAATGGTTATGACGTCTTCTTCTTATGTCAAAAGGACCAGTAGAAGACCAATGAAGAGCATTGAAGAGCATTGAAGCCCTGTGCTTACCCC